AAAAAGGTGCCTGGAAGTGTCCGTTGATGTCTGCAAATTCCTAAAAATTCTTTTAGAAAGACTTTGATACTATCTCCTCATCTGAACAGCATAAATGAGCTCTATGGTAGTCTCTGATACACCACTGAGGAATAGGAAGTACATCAGTTTGAAAAACAGATGCCTCACAGGTCCTCTGTTGGCAGCTTCATTACCCTCTACAAAGCATTAGTCTCAAAATCAACAGTGAACAGTCGACTCCGGGAAACTGGCCTTGTAGACAGAGTTGCAAAGAAAAAAAAAGACCTGTCTGGCCCGAGCCAATAGAGGGAATGGTTAAGATGGGCAAAAATGTGCAAACACTGGGCAAGGCAAATTCAAAAAGAAAATAAGATTTCGGGTTAACAGGGGTTTATTTATAAGACTAGATGCCATTTGTCAGGAAATACCTTTACATCTCCAATTCCTTTTGGTGGGGAAATATAAAGGCAAAGTGAGAGATTTGTACATGATCAAAGGCATCATGATAAGGAAAGTTAGACTATTTTTCAGTGTGGATACTAGTTGATTGGAGCGGGTTTGTTTTTCCAATAGGACAATGACAAAGCTCCAAAGGATGCAAAAAGTATTTAAAGAAGCTGTGGGCTGGTACTCTGTTTGTCAATATCCTGGCTTTTAATTTGAAAAAAACAAACAAACAAAAAACTCATAAAATGAAAAGCAGAGCACAGCAATTCTAACTTATGTTGTTCCAGATTCCTTCAATAAATTGCATGCTGAATGTCAAAGGTCTGCAAGAGTATAATCGCTGCCAGTTGATGATTCTTTTACCAAAACAAAGATTGAAGGACAAAATTTAAAATAATTATTCTTTTTTGTATGTTCCAGTGCATTCTGGTACATCCTGCAGATGCATAGAATTGATGTCTATATCTAAAACAGCAATCATTATGGCTCCAATGGCCTGATAGCTGAGTTCTGAGATTACTTATTGTTAGTGTTACTTTTCGTCTCAGAACTCATCCACCCCTTTTTAAAAGTCTTTTGACAGAACAGACCTTGGTCAAATGTCACATCTGACAAACGGCACAAATGAATTCACTGTTTTATTGTAGGCTAGCCTTTCCACAGAGCACATCAGCAGCTGCATCAACATATTTCTACTCTTCCAACTTTACACCACTTTGCTGGTGTAAGCATACGATTCTTCCACAGTCTCATACTGTTCCACTTTATGTCCCCTTTGGCAGCTGTTTGTCCTTAAAGGTGAACGTATCAGCATTTTTTTCCCCCCACTGTGAATTCAGCTCTAGTGAATTAATTATACAGAATGCCATCCTTCCTGAAAAAGCAGACACATCTGCTATAGCAGAGAAGCTCATTAAAATAGTAAGAACATACCAAACGTCACAGGCAATACTGTGTACAAACACCAAGAGTGATTCACCAGCACTTTCTAGGTCTTTGTTAGAAAATCTCTACATACACCAAAACACCATGCTGTCACACCCTGAGAGCTCAGCAGCACAGATTTATTGGATTCAGCACACATCCACTCTGTTTTATACTGGTATTAATTGGGGTAATTTCTTAGCAACAGTGGGTCTGTTTAATGTGATTGTGGTAGCACAAGGGCACTCACAAGGAGCAGGAAGCCTTGAAGAATCATGTCCTAACTTGAAATTTTAATGTTATGTGTTTTTTTAACAGGTTTTTAATCAAATTTATCTCGATAATTTTGCAGGGATGTAACACTAAAAAAACTTCATCCATGGCAGACGAATTAACACCAAGCTATTCACGTCCTTCTTTGCTCTTCTTCTTTTCATAATCTGTTAACAGCTGTTTTGGCTTCTCAGCTGGCAAACTGAGCTCATAACTTTGTATCTGGAAAATTCTGGCAAAACAAGGTAGGCAGGTAGGTAGACAACTATTGCTGACCTAACTGTCAAATGTAATGTTATTCAATTCATGTGCAATGCTGGGAAATTTACATTTGAAATAACAAATGTAAGACTGTTTAAAAGGCAACTGGTAACACAACTATTTAAATCATGAAAGTAATATAACATGACATTTCTTTCCTCTATTTTCAACAAATATATTAAACTGAGACATAGATATCAGAAGGCCAGAGCCAACCGAGAAACAATATTCCAAATATAATGAGTGTATATTAATACAACATGTTTTAGATACAGAGGCTAAGACACTTGCTACAACAAAAAGCACATAAGTAACATTACAGAGTAGGATAACAGTGTTTAACCAACAGAAGTTGTGAGAGGAAATCAATCAATGTCCCAAAAAGCAGGTGCCCCCCCACAGACCACTGTAATTAAGTACACCAGTCAGCCAGAACATTAAAATAATTGACAAGTGGAATGAATATTGTTCATCTCATCTTGTTCTACTGGGAAATTTTGGGCCTTGGCTTTCATGTGGATGTAACTTTGACACTATCATCCATCTACTGTAAATATAGTTGCAGACCACGTACAGCCCCTTTGTTGCTGTGAAGCGACATGTGGTTTAATTCATTCTCTAGATTATCCCATGCTGTTTATCCCCTCTTAATCTCTTTGCATCTGGCCAATAATGTGAATACTTTGATTTTATTCCCTGTTATTAGATTCAAAAGTGAAAGCCAGAGCTTTAAATTAAAGAGGCTTTGGATTTTCTTCTGTAGCTGTATTAAGTCTAATATTTTTGAAATCTTTTTTATATTGACCATTTCAAATGAGAAACAACTTTTGGCTCACTGATTCTTTTGGTCAACATTTCCCTTTGTTAAATGTGATTGCACATTATTGATTTAAATTATTCTTGAATTTTGAAATTAAAGAAGATTAAGTGACTACCTGCTGGATTAATTAGACCTTGGAATACATGCAAGACCACGGTGTGTGTCATTATGCCATACAATAAGGATTTTATGGAATTTATTGCCCCGGGGTCAAGTTATTGGGAGCTAGACTCTGCAGATTACCCTTTTCAGACACATATCACACAGCAAATATATTAGTCATGGCCCAGCCTCAGCTCTATGTGCATAATCAGTTTTTATTGCCCACGTACAAGCCATCAAAAATTTGTCTGTTTTGCAGATTTCTAGTTAACCTACAGTACATACAGTGGGTTGGTAGCAGGGTCAGGATATGTGGAAGCTTAGGTTCTTATAGCGTCATGCATGTGGGTTATGAAAACTATGCGGGAGGAAATAGAAATCTCTGGAATAAGCAACTTTCTAGATTTATTACAAATCTGTTTAAAATACACTATAAAATAGGGTAGAGACATACTGAATTCCCTATAACTCGTTAACTCATTCACTTTATCTCACATTAATGGTTTTTACTGTGTCCAGTGACATTCAAGTACCCAGCAGTGAATACAAAGTTGTTCTTAACTGCTGCGCCCCTGTAACATTTATAGATCTCATAGAATAATTAAATGTATAAGATTCGCTAATAAATATGCAACATGAACTAGGTCACTCTAGGGTCAAAGAGCTAACCTGTGAGTGGAAAAACGGGTTTAGATGACCCTTGGATTGTTTTCTTATTTAACAGTTTATTATTGTTTATTGCAGATATTTTGCATCCACTTTTTGTGTAATATTTTATTTGATTGTATTTGATGGTTTGGGCCCTGGGAAGACTAGCAACCACTCTTGTGGAAGCTAATGGGGTTCCTTATAAATAAACTAATAAACAAACATGTTTATTTTTAGAAATTACAAATTCCATGAACATTGCTTAATTTTTGGATGGTGATCTCATGACCTCAAGCACTTATAACATGCTAAAACTACCAGCTTACCTCAATATTTGGTCGCTAACGTTACATTTACAATCATATTCCAGTTTTGTGGCGCTTTAGTATCTTACAGCATTAGTTTTGATACACATATTACTATATGGCTCAACATCACTACTCTTGAGCTCTTTGCCAAAACAAAAGCTCAGAGAAAAATATTTATTAAACACCAAATTAGCTAGTGAGCTCATAGATGGACTTTGCAAATTGTAATTGACATACAAATTGCCACTGATGAATTAGTCACATCAATTTGTGTCCAAAGTGAAGAAACAAACAACAGGAAGTCAGATAACCACAATATCATTATGCAAGAATACTGACTAATTATATTTTGAGATGTTATCTTGTAATTATGTGACACACAGTTTGTGAAATGAGATGCAGATCTCCCAAGATTCTAGCATAAATCATCAGAAAATGTGTCACTTTTTTCCTTCTTTGGAGATCCAGACATGATTGTGAGTGGTAATGTTTTGAGACTACAGCTGAATGCAAATTTTATTGAGTCTGCTGGAAATCTGGGTTAGAGTGCAGGCATTAGCCCTTAATAAGGGCATTATATATTCGAGCATTTTGTCAGATTCTTATGGAATTGTTCCTCCCCCTAGTGGCCATAATTGTCAATTATTGACTCTAACCGTCGACGCTATGGGAGAAGAAGAACATTTAATGTCATGCTGCAGTGAGGTGAAAAGAGGTAAGAGATGAATAATTGCATGGTGTATCACGTGAAGTCCCGCATAAGTAAGGTATGATTCAACTCACCCGATTGAGCCCTAACTATAAACTTTATCAAAAGGAAAGTTTTAAGTCTTAAAAGTTGAGACCTCACTTTATATGTCAGGAGAACTATTTTAAATTTAGCATATATTCTGGAATTAGCAGGGAGCCAATGACGAGAAGCCAGTATTTAAGAAATATGACCTCTCTTTCTTGCACCTGGTCACACTCTCCCTGCAGCGTTTTGGACTAATTGGAGGCTTTTTAGGAAACTTTTAAGGGGAAAAAGATAACACTGAATGACAATAGTCTTGCCTAGATGTAATGAATGCATGAACTAGTTTTCCAGCATCAAATTATGGGCTATGGCGACGACCCGCTTATGATACTGATGATAAGTATCCTCATTTGTTCATTCTTTAGCAGAAGGAGGAGGAGGAGGGAGTGAGGGGGTTCTTGGGCTTTTAAAAGTGCTCACATCCCAGTTTCTCCTCTCTCCACCTCCTCTCATTTTGGTGGCGGGGAAGGACGGGAGTGAAAATCTCTACTTCTCATCTGCAGTCGCTTCACCAGTGAGAGACTCCTGGAGGAATTTCGGTCGGGAAATAGATACAAACACCTGCACCTGTGCCGAGGCTTCTTCGAGAAGAGACGCCGATTAACTTCTGCAAAACCAAGCCGAGAAGTCTAAACATGAAGTAAGTCCTTTATATCTGTTTTGCAAATTTCATTAGTGTAAAACGCGCAAGCAAAATCGTGCTTTTAGGTTTTCGACTTCTTTTTGTGCCGTGTTTGATATTTGTTTAAGCCTCTGACCTTGCTACGCATGCATTTTATTTCGAAACACCGTTTGCATTTCTATGGAACGAATTTTTTGGATCGTTAAACTTGAAATGCCGAACAATGAGTGATACAGCTTGGTAATACAAAGTAGTGCGCTAACAGCATCACTCAACAACCTCAGCATCACAACGTTACCCCAGAGATGTTTAGTGATAGCATGTGCAGAGCTAGATGCAATAATCGGATGTTGTAAAGAAAAAAGTAGTGATAGCACAATTTAAAAATACTCTAACGCGGTAGGCTAGAAATAGAAGGAAAATAATCAGCACATTGTGCATCAGGCATCAAAGGGGAAATGCTCATCTTGCAGAATTACTTGTTTTCAGGGTTTTGTGTCTTATATATTTAGCCAAATTTGTTATCCTTATGTTGCACTTGGTAAATATATATATATAAATATATATAACCTGTAAGTAAGTAAATAAATAAATCAATTATGGAAAAAAAAAGTATAAGCCAGTGGAAATAACTGTGCCATTAACATGCAATCAATACCTTAATACAAATAAAGTTTAAAAAATTTATTGATTGATTGATGTATTTCCTTTTTTGGTATTTTCTCTTTGGAGAAACAGTTTTAAAGTTAATTAGTTCAGGTTTGAGATGTGTTTTCTCCTCATTTAGCTGTAAAAACGTCACATATATTCAACACAATGTATAAGTGTATGCATCAATTTTCAGTGCTGCATCAGAAATGATACAAAATTCAGCATTTATGTAAAGTGCTGAATCTTGGGGTTACATTCACACTCAATGAGAAAAGTTTGAATTGTTACCTGGTTGTTATCCTGCAGCTCTCCACTTTTGTTTACTTATACAGTCCTTAATTTGAATATTCATATAATAATTGAAAATACCCTTCTCTATAATATAAGTCAGCTTGCACTTGTTCAGACAGCATCACTGAAAGTCTTTTCTTGTCAGTCTCATATATAGGAATTCAAATAGGGTATTATTATTACTATTCCACATGGAAAAAACTTTGATTTAAACTTGGGCAGTTAGGTGAATGTTTGCAATCGGGAAAAGAAAGGCACCAGAACTCATGCAGATCTACTGTTTATTTTAGGGGCAAATTTACATATTAACAAACTACTAAGATCATTTTCCAAAGTCAAACCTTTTTGATAACTCTAAATAAAAAAAAAACAGTCCTTCATTTGAATTCTGTGTAACCAACAATCCTTTATACAGAATCTATTTCTCATTCCAAATTCTGAACATCTAAAGTGTACAGTATCATAATCTGTGAACTTTTTTACTTCTGTCTATTCATCTTCTATATGTGAATCCTGATCCAGCGGTTTAAATTTAGAGGTTTCAGTAGATCAACAGAGTTCTGGAAAGACAATTTATAGCGCTTCTGTTAAAATCCATTAAATACTGATTCACATACTTACATGATCACAGACCATATTACACACTTTTCTTGAAAACCTGTTGCAGAGAAATCAAGACCAACAAGTTGATCTCTGAACATTGCAGAAACTCATCAACTTTGATTTGATATGCAGATTGCTCTGCACATATGGGAGTCACTAAGAAACTTATTCTTTTGACCTTTACATGTAATGTTCACACATTACCTCAAGGAAATGGCTGCTATACAAATGGAATTACTGCATCTGTACAAACCCAGCACATAATAGATTTTAGAGAATGTAACAACCCTTCCATGTTTATATAACCACTTTTACGTAAGGACCAAGGTTTGACTTGGCTAATCTGTTTGTATGGATCAGCTTTACTTTTAATTCTAGAATCGTAAAAGGCATTACAACTCAGTGCATATCTGATCACTTCCTTTCATTTTTTGAGTGGATATGGTAAATGTAATGTAAATGTTGCTGTTAATTTCTATATAAGCATGTGGCAAGTGGAGTTTTCCAATAGGGTAAATTTTAACTCAATCAATTAGTTGTGGGCTCTCAGCAACAGATGATACAGCTGGCTCTCTGTGGGGGCCATAAGCAATCAGGTCATTGTGTTCACTGCCCTTTCCCATAACTTCAAAAGGTGTTGCTTCTCTAAAGCAGCACCAAGTTTTTATCACCTCCAAAAAGTATATAATGAAACCAGTGCTGTTGTTTTTTCTCACTCTGTCTGAGGCATAAGCCCTTAAAACTCACAGCAGATCTGCCTAATCGGCTTGTGGCACACAGACTACAACACACTCACACAAGTCTAACGGCTGCTGTAGCTAACACCCAGAGACTTGTAGCTTATGGCTTTTGTCACTGCTTTAAAAGTTTTGCCCTCCAGCGCACAGAGTCAGCGGCTAACAGCTAACAAGACATGACTGCTGCCTGAGGCTGCCTGGTGAGCTGTTCCAAATCATTCCTGTGAACTTAACATCTCTCTCAGCACTCAGTCATGCTGTATGGAGCCTCTTTCTTCTTTTCTGCCTCCCCTATTCTCTTTGAGGTTTCTCTTGCTTCCAGCCCTCCCTGGCTACTCCTTGCTTCCTGTCAGATTGTGTCTATTCGTGGTGGGAGGTGGGGGTGTTCAGGTTGCCCCTGGAGATGGGCAGGCTGATTCATTCTAGGTGGTGTGATGTGGGACTGGTGGGATAGGGTAGTGAGGATCTGCCGAGGGGCGACAGGAGTTTACTGTGGGGGTCCTTTCTTAGAGAAAATGGAGGGGTACAGTGGAGGTCAGGTTTGACCAATGATGGGCTGGCAAGTAGTTTTTGAATCCATTCTTAAATCTGAATGACAGCAGCAAAAAGAGGCAGTTTTAGACTGTGTGGTGAAAGGCTTTCGGTGCTACTGAGTTCCTTTGCATTTATTAATTTCGAATCCTTTAATAAAAGTACTTATAAATTCTGTTTAAACTTCTTCTTTTTTCATAATTAATTTGGCCTAATATGACTTTAAAATCTGATGTCAGTTAGCATAAATATATATATATATATATATATATATATATATATATATGAAAATACTGAAAATACTTTTTTAAAAAAGTGACAGTAACTTTAAACTGTACACAAACTGTGAACAGGTTATCATAAGTTCAGCAGTAACTTACTGGAGGCTAGATAGCAGTAAAATACTGTAAAAAAAATTAACAAATTTTTAATATGTTTTTATTTTTAATACAATTCTTGCAAATGAAATTACAGTACAATGAATTAAATTTACAGCAGCTTTATTGTAAATGATGTTTTTGCTGTAAAAATACAGTAGTAAAATATAGATTTTACAGTAGTAAAATAGACATTATATATATATACATGAAATTACAACCTCTAAGTTGGTTTTGATTGTATTACAACTCAAGGTCCTAGTGTCTTTCAGAAGTGTAGCTTCTTCTACTGATCACTAAAGCACACATACCACAGCTTTAATATGATTCAGTAAGAGAAAAAAATAGTTTGATCTTCACTATTGTGTAAATTCTGCTTACAGCTTTGATGCTAACTAACATAAGTAGATTTGCATGTTCCTTACTGTAAATGAAAGAGCTAAGGAAAGCTAAATCCATCCATTCCCTTTGTACTGCCAGTACAGATCTGGGTCACCGGGGCAGCAGTCCAAGCACAGAAGCCCAGACCGCTCTCTCCTCAGCCAACTCCTCCAGTTCTTTTCGGGAAATACAAACTCTTTCTCCAAAGTGAAAACGATCTGTAAGGGTGAGACTAAGACACCTTTTGGAAGCTAATTTTTACCCCTCGTATCCATAATATTATCAGTTCATCTCATAGCCCATTCCCACCCTCATGCAGATCAATGAGTAAATTGACAGCGAGACCCCAGACACTTGAAATCCTTGATTTGAAGCAGCAACAAATGCTCCTGAAATGCCAAATGCACACTTTTGCAGTTGAGAATCATAGCCTTACACCTGGATGTGCTTGTTCTCCTCGCTGCTATTTGTAAAAGGCTGGAGCATTGATAAACTTAACAGCATCACATCATTTACAAATAGCTGAGGTAGTATTCTAAGACCTAACACAAAAAAAAACTACAAAAAGTGAAAAAGTGTGAAATAATTTTAAAAACTGTAAACTTAGCACTGCTGTCATAAACCTTTAGTGTGTTAAGCTTAGTGTAATTCAAAAGGTAGCTTTTCTTTGAAATTCACAATGACAGAACTGAAATGTCTTCATTTTTGCAAACACTTGTGTGAAGTAGTCAGACTCGAACGTCAAGGAAGGTGGTAGGGAAGCAGACTACGCAGACATTTCAGGTTTCCAAAGGTGAGCAATTTATTTACAGTGAACTTAATTTAATATGTAACTTAACAAAACTTCCCCCCAAATCAACTCAATTAACAAAACTCAACAGCCCATGGATTTGGTAACACAGCTCACCTCTCCTCTCTGCTGCATCTGGTAGAGACTGGCTTTAAATAGGGCCATCAATTTCCCTCCAATTGCCCAGCCTGTACCACTCA